TGACCTGTTTCAAGTCATGAAATTCAGCAATGTGAAAATGTCTCTTCTTTAAGCTTTAAATCAAGGTCTTATGCTGAGTTTCAAATAGGAGAGATTAGTTGCCTTGGGACAGAAATGCTACTTTTCTTTGATCAGGATGTGGCTCCATAAATTACCCAGAACACCACATTAAGGTGATTTGGAGAAAGGTAGTGGAATAGAATTAGATCTTGAGAATTCTCTGGTCACTTTCATGAACTGAGATTATGAAGTTGTAAAAGAAGGAGATAGAGAATAAGTAACTTGTGAGAAAAAATGTTGATGATGGTTTCATGATTCTAAAAGAGAGTGTTGGAAGACTGTTCAAGAGGGATATAATCATCAAACAAGACGCTCAGGGGCAGAAGAGGCCTCTGGTGGGCAAGGGGAATTTTGCTTCCCTGTACACTTCTGCACGAAGCTCCTCACTACTACAGCTGCTACCAGCACTGCCCCTCTTGTCAGCTCAGTTTAGCCATTTTTGTCCCCACGACTAAACCCGACTGACATGCCCTGCTTACTTAAGAAGCTGGTGGCAGTGGGTAGAAACATGGAGGTGGTCTGGCATGAAGGCAGGTGACTCACCACCATCCATTCACCAGTTTCTTTAAATACTCCTCCCTCCTCATACCATTTAGTCCCTCAGCTGGTCTCAAATCAGTCCTGTGGAAAAGGGTCTGAAAAAATCTTGTTTATTTAGGAACGAGACTTTCAGATATTATCAAGTGGCCCTATAGCTTATCTAGCCTAAACCTAGTATCAGTTTCTTTTTCGAAGTAACAGTGAGTCTTCATTTATATGTGACTCCCACACAAATGTGAACATGTTAAGCAAGCTATTTCCAGCAATTAGAGTCACTTGTTACATAACATCAGTAAGAGGGACTCAGGTGAGAAACAACTCTGATTATAGGTATTTAGCCCAAATGTACATCAGTTGTAACTCTTTAAATGTATTTCTTTTAGCAGCTAATTGAAATACTTTATCAGTGAAAGTCTTGACACAACAGTTATACAAACATACCTGTAAGAATATGAGAAATTAAATAAGACATAATATACACCTTAACAAAACGATGGCTTAATTTGTACTCCCTTTGTAATTCTAACTAAATATTGTGGTGAGTAGTTCTTACTTTAAACCCTAAGTATATGGGCATTTATTACACACAATATGAAAATACCTCAGGAGGCTTGTGATTAACGCCATGGTATTCAGGCACAGCTTACAGAGACTTTCAATCAAAAACAAAAGGCCCAAGCAGATGATGAAACACATGGAAAAGATACATGTGTACAACCAAGGACATATATTTAGAGTTGCTCATACCAGCTCAGTTTTAGCCCTTGGCTTGCTACGACAGTCCCCCAACACATATTCCCTGCACCTGGTCCAAGACTGCCCAATGGATTCGCCTCTAGGGTAGGCCTGCCAGATAAAACACAGGAGGCCTGGTTAAATTTAATTTCCGACAAACAATAAATAATTTTAGTATAAATATGTCCCAAAATTGCATGCAACATACTTAGGCAGACATATACCTTAACTGTGCTTATTCTCTGAGGCAAGATGACTCACAGATTTGAAACCCCCATAGCCAAAATTTCAATCTAGCCCCATAGTCTGGTTCTCTTAATGGATACTGCTTCACCCTCTATTCCTGCTCATAGAGCCTTTTCTTCATAATGCATATTTTCAAGGAATTCTTTAAACATTAGTTATTGAAGGGAGACATTAGCTGATTCAGACTGAGCCGTCAGGGCACTGGAGGCTAACTCTGACTGAAGAGTATTTATCCTTATTTAATTTTGCTCCAGTTTTTACTACACAACCAATGTATATGTGTTACAGAAAACTAGAGAATATGGATAAGCACAAAAGAGAACAAACATAAGTCACCCCAAACTCCACCCCTCCAGAAATTTGGAATACTCATGGGGTGTCAATTGCTCTGGGTCCTACATGTGTCATGAGTGCTGTGAGGGATCAGATTTCATCTGTCTCTGTCTGACCCTGAGGGGCTACTATGATGTTCCGCCTGAAAGTATTCCTCAACAGACGTATTTCAGCCAAGGCTTTAAAGTGGCATAGTGAGCGTAATCCCACTAATAGAAATCCTGCAGTGATATGACAGGATAGAAATTAAGCCATTGAATTTTAAATTTTCAACTCTAATACCTTCTATAATTCCCTTCACAGAACTCCCTAAGTTCTGAACAAAATACAATTTTTTTCCCCCAGGGAAATTCAGAATATAAGTTAGTGCTAAAAGTCTTTGTCCCAAGGGTTCACCAAATCCTGAGCTCCATCTCTTAAAAGGTCTCAAATGGCTTTTCTTTCATGTCTAATTTCAACACTTGATCTTGAAAGTAAATGAGATGGAGTCCCAGCTCTGGGCTAAAGGTGACTCCACTTTCAGAATTCAGAAGCATCTGACCTTACTGAGAGACTGACAAGAGGTGAGTCAGGTGGGACTAGTGGGGCCCAGCTACACACCTGAGTTGAGTTGTCAGAGCAGTTACTCCAAGCACCTCAGGCTCAGTTGCATTTGCCCTGGCCCACATTTCTATGGATTTGGTCCCGAATCCTGGAAGGGAGAGAGGACAGTGAATAAAAAACAGAAGAGCCATCTTCACAATCTCCTTCTGGCTTCGGCAAGTCAGCCAATACGACTCTGGCAAATCCTATGTGAAGAATAAACCGAAAGAGACATTCTCTTCTGCTGAGCCCTAGGCTACTGAGCCGCACTGGCCTGTGTTCTGGGGTTGGGTGGCAGCAGCCAGCATCCCAGCAGCAGCAGTGCCAGGAGGTGAGGCAGCTGGTGCCTGTGCAGAAGGCAGTGGTTCCCAGAGAGGCACAGGCATGGTGGAGCCCTGAAGTGCAAGGGACCCACAGAGTGACAGCAGGATTCTAGTCTATGGTAGATACGGCTGTACCTGCAGGATGCAGTGGTATCTAGCAGGGCAAAAAAGCATGGAAGTGGCACCTTCCACAAGAACTATAACCAAATACATATGAAGTGCAGTCCACGAGGGTGTGTGTGTGTGTGTGTGTGTGTGTGTGTGTGTGTGTGTACTCACAGTGATAAAATGATGGCCCTTTCCTGGTATTTGACTAAGCTGCTTCTGAACGAAGGCCTTCCTCTGGTTTCCTGGCATACTTGGGATCCAGCATCTCCACCTGCCCCTCCAGTACGTCTGGGCTAATGGTACTATTTATTTCGTTGTGTTGTTAGGAGGACTCAATGGTGTAATACCAGGAAAGCAGCTAGTGCAGCACACAGTAAGGCCTCCTCAGGATCAGTGCCATCTAAATGCACTTCCCAAACAGACCCCGCTGCCTCTTAGCGTGCCACCAGAGGGATTCAGGCTTAAATTGTGACTCACCGTTTACTAGTTACATATGTCCTTAGTCAAATTAATTAGCTTCTGGGCAATGGGAATGAGTTCCATGGATATGGGGTGCACTGTGTGCCAGACATTTTGCCAGGTGCTGCCGGCCCACGGATGAGCAGCTCCAACATCACTTCGGCCTGCAAAGCCCTCAGCACCTGGGGTCAGGGGTGGTGGGTGAGTCACAGGCAACTAAATAGGCAAAAAATAACAGAGTGCTGTAAGGGTTGCACACTTATCCAATTTGAGCTGGACCAGTAGTTAACAGACTAATCAAACAAGTCAGTAGAAAAATCACAAAAAATGTCCTCTTAATGTTAAATGTTAATGTAAAATGTTAAATGTTCTGTTTCAACTTAAGCAGGTGAGGGGTTGCCAGGGGACAGGGGAGGGGGAATGACGAGTGATTACTTAGAGGGTGCAGTGTGTTCTGGGTGATGAGGAAGTTTGGAAACCAGAGAGGTGGCAGTTGCACAATACTGTGAATACACTAACTGCTGCTGAATTGTAACTTCAAAATTGTTAACTGCATGTTATATGAATTTCACCTCAATTTAAAAAATCATATAAGTGTACATTATTTTGTCAATCTTTTGATGTAGGGCTAAAGACTTTCCTTTAAGTATGTGTCTAATAACTGAAGTCCCAGGTCATCTTTCTGGCATAAACCATCCCCCATAATATAAATATTTGACTTTCAGTTGCAATTTCTTTAAATTGGGACAAGGAGGTAGTTGCCTGCAAATCTCAGATTTTTAGATCTGTTTAGGTTCATCCCTGTTTAGATTTATGATCTTTTTCCATTTACTGCTTTTACATTAATGCTTAATGTGACAGTTTTTTTTAGTAGCTCACACATCTTTCTATAGTATTTTTCATAGAAACAACTTTCCTTCTGTACTCACATTTTATGAAATTACATAATATTTCCCTAAAAAACATGGTTGTAAGAGCAAGTAAAACCAGCATAAAGTAAGTTTAGAACAAACATGTGTGACTCTTGTTAGGTGGGCATACAGTTCAATTCAGCTAATGGAAGCAAAAATAAGGTGGATGTACTCGAGAGGAGTTTCCCACCCCGAGCACTGGTGAGGCCAGGGCTGGAGTCACTGTGTGTTACCAGGGAAATGATGTGTATCAAATTGGTTTAGTGGAAGTCAGTTTGGAGAGGACTGACAGTACAATGGATATCCATAAGGAGGATATTTAACCCGGACCTGGGGAAGTCACCATAAGCTGAGGCATAAAGGTTTGGAAAATTCAGGAGATGGTCTTTCAGGTGCTGGAAACATCCAGGGAGGGAAGAGAACACCTACAATGCAGTAGCAGCAAGAAGTGTGGCTGGTCTGTGGTGTGCACAAGCAGGTGTGTTGAAGATGAAGCTTGAAGAGGATCTTGCAAACCACATTAAGAAGTTTAGATTCAATCTTAGGGACAGTAAAAATACATGAAAAATGTAAGGAGTGGACAGCCATAATTACCCTTGCACTTTAGAAAGATGCTTGGGACTGCATTCCAGGGGATAGGTTAGAGATGGTGGTGGGGCAGGGGTGGGATAGGAATTGGGGGAGGGACGGTGGGGATCTGCACTAAATGCAGGGCTTCATGGGTGAGGGAGAGAAGAAAGACTTGGTTAAAGCCCAAATGTTTCTAGCTTTGGTGGTAGTGCTAGTCACTAACAGAGAACACAGAACAAGAGTAGGATTGGGGGAAAGATGAGTACAGTTTGGAATATCCATTTTGTAGCTAGATACGTGCCTCTGAAACTGAGTTGCAGAGATTAAATGTGGCCAAAAAGTCAAGTAAAGTAAGGAATGGAAAGTATGTAATTATTTTCAGCAGCAAGGTGTCCTCTAGTGACTGGTGAAAGCAGTTTTAGAAAGAAGGTGGCCACAGGGGCCTGATGATAGTGGGTTGAGGAGTGTATAGGGATAAGGAAACCACTGTGTGTGGTAGATAATTTAGAGAATTTGGGCTTTAAAGGAGAGGACAGAGTGAGCGAATTCAGTAATCTGCAAGATGAGTAGGGAATGAAGAACACACTTAAATGTTGCAGAAATAAGTCAGAAGAAATAAGTTAGTAGCTCTCTTCTCCCAGTGGCCTTGTTCTAATGCTTATCTTCAATTATTAAAAACAATTAATAGGGTTAATGCTTTGTCCACTGCTTGTATACAGTAGGTGTTCAAACAATGTTTCCCTTTACTTAGTTCCTGTTTCTTCATTGCTTATCTCTAAGCCATTTCTCTGCCATCTCTTCCCCCTCACACACACCTTTTTTAGCATTTTGGTATAGTTCTTGCCTGTATTTCTATGCTTTAGAAAAACATGGTTGAAAATACACTACCTGTACCTTTTTTTACTTGCTATTTTAATGTATTTCCCTGTTAATATCATTAACTATTATTTTTTATTTACTGCTACATATCCCACCTTACAGATGTACAAAGCTACACCTGGCCATTTTGCCATAGTTAGGCCTGTAGGTGCTCATGTGTTTACAAATAAATCTTTGTTCATATTGCTAATTATTTCCCCACATTAGTCTTCTAGAAGTGGGATTATAATGGTAAACATTTTAGGAGGAATTAGAAAGCTAGTTTCACATTAAGGATTGGAAGTAATAGTGTTGTTTCTTACGAGCATAGTACTAATTTTTCAAGTCCCATTGATATTTTACAAAAAAGAATGATTGTATGAATCTTATTCAGTTTTTCAATTTCTAAGCAGCATTATCTGCTTCATCTTAAAAATATTAATCATCTCATTGTTTATAAGGTTACTCACTGTTTGAAGACAACTACTTAGATTTCATCCCTGCATCCTAAAGCTTTACATTCCAAGAAAGACATACTGATGCAGGCATGCATGCTTGAGATTCACCAGAAGCAGACAAAAACTGTTAAAACTGTCCCATAGGTGGACCTCCAAATGAGTCTAGGGCAATCACATTGCAAGGATCAGGACCAAAGTACATTTATTACATAGACTGAGGAGAGAGGAGGTCAGCAGGGACCAGCTAGGACATCCAGCCTTCAACTGGGCCAAATGTAAAGAACACATATTTGGTCTGCGTATTCCCTCTGAAGGCCTCTGCTGTAGCCTATTTCCTTCCAGTGCATGGTAACATGTGGCTGCTCTCAGAAAAGTACTGTGACTACCGCCTACTAGGTTCTTTAATTTCCTTCCCCCTTTCTCTCTCAATCCATCTTCCCCATATGACCTTGTTCCCTAGCCCTGCCTCAAGTCCCAGACTAACCCAGCCCTCAGTCAGCAGGATGGTGGATGACACTGGTTTGAAGATCTCCCTGGGTCTCCTCTAGCCAGTCAGACTGGTGGTGTGTTTGGAAACCACAGGCCCTGACTGTGGCTGTCAGACCTCCGGACGCCATCTGCTGCCGGTCTGTCATCATCATCCTCAGGTACTGCGCTCATCTGGCTGGGCCTCCACCTACCACCCTCTGCTGCAGCTGTCCCACAAGCACGAGTGCCGCCTCCTGACACCACGAGAGAGCCTATCTGGATTCCAGGAACAAATCCATCCTTGTCTGCCTCCTTCCCACAGAAGATAAACATTAATGGCATTATAACATTGGTAAATAATATTAAGTAACAACAAATATTCAGTAAGTGCTTACTATTATTAATTTAATTGCTATAACTTACTCCTCAAGAGAGCTGATGACCCATGAGGACAAACATGTTAGCACATTATTACTGGCACTAAAACTGATATCCACTGTCTACCCAGAACAGGCCTAAGGGAGAGAGAAAACCACAAAGCCTGCCTGTCTCACTGCCTCCATGCCCAGTCCATGAACAGCGCTTGCCCTGCTGCATCCAGCGAGCCACCCACAAAGAAGGAGGTCAGCAGAAGTGAAGGTGTTGTCTTAAAAATATTCATTATAAAAAAGACACTGACTTCATTCTTGGGCAGATTCTCTTCTTGTGAAGTATCTAGTCCCTCTGCCTGATTCTCTTGTTCTTCCTGAGTCTGATCTGTATCCATTTTACTGTGTTTCAGCTATGAAGTTAGTAGAAGGAACTATTTAAAAAGAACTTTAAATAGCTTTTTTCCCCTTTATTGACTTCATGCTAGTAGAAACCTAGGTCTGATCATCATTTTTTTGATTATCTGGGTACTGCAGTCATCCACACTAGCTCTTTTCCCACTGACTAACTGAGAGTTGATTATCATCCAATATCCATCCACCAAAGATGAGTTATAAGTTATGGCAGGTGTCTGGTGAATGATACCAATGCAGTTTATTTTACTGTTTACTCTTTCATCTTAGAGTGATCAGCTAGCAAAACGAAAATTATGGATTGGTATCTTTCCTTTGTAAGACTTCTGTCCCATCCATATTAGATTTAAATGTTATTTTCAAATTGATTTTACTAATTATATTTTCTGTGCATGAGTCACACAATCATGTCCTTTGCTCATTTATCCACTGGGGGAGTGGTAGTGTTCACAAGTATGTTTGAGTAAATTTTCACGTGCTTAGAGATGATAAGTATTTTCCATTGTGGTGAATATTTTTCCTTTGTATTTATTGTTATTTTTATTGCTGAGAAGTTAAACATTTTTTGTAACTGCATTTCACAATTTTATTTCATTTTTAATTTCCCATTTTGTTCCAATAATAGGAAAATTATCACCTTAAAGTGGGACTAAAAACCCTATTCTTCCCTTAGGGTTCCATTCCTACCATCTTCGAAATTTTGTACTGACATTCTTGGGCTGCAGAGCTTAGGCTCCACAGCTCTTTAAATTATTTCTACAAAAGCTGAACATGTGTATGACTTCAACAGTGCAACTACCTGCAGGGTCCATTTTCCATGGATTTGTAACTATTTCCCATGTTGTCTGATGTCTAAGAGGTCTAGAGCTTACTCCATTCATACCTAAGTTGATACCAAGAGTCACTCACCCATTCATCTATTCATTCATTTATGTTTGGCACACAGACTCTAGGGTAGCCCCAATGAGCCCTTCTTCCTGGTGTTCATCCTTGAGTGTGGTTTGCTTCTAACAAATAGAATATGGTAAAAGTGATTTGATGTCTGTCCTGTGATGTATTACATAATAAATAAAAGACTATCCCTCTGAAGATTCATCCTAGAGACTGTCCTTGCTGGCTTGATGAACTAAGCAGCCGTGTTTGGGAAGCTCACGGTGAGGAACTATGGGAAGCCCCCACTCCCAGCCCTTCATCCCAGGAAGAAGCTGGGATCCTTGGTCTTAGAGCCACAAGGAAATGAATTCTGCCAAGAATGTGAGTGAGCTTGGAAGGGATTTTTTTCTCCAGTTAAGCCTCTAGAGAAGAGTACAGTCCAGCTGACACCTTGACTGCAGTCTTGTGAGACTCTAAGTAGGGGGATCATCTAAGCCTTGCCTACACCTGCAGAAATTGTGAGATAATAAATGGGTGTTTTCAACCACTAATTATGTGGCAATTTGTTATGCAGCTATAGAAAAAAAATGAATACTCTGCTATGCTCAATGCCATATATGTGATTCTCTCACTTAGTGCTTGAAGTAACCCCAAGAACCTAATACTAATATCCCCCATGTTACAGATAAAGCAACTGAGGCTCAGGAGTTAAACTCTAGAATATTCTGCTCTCAACCACTGTACTATCATAGTACTATTATATACTATCATTTCATTTGACTGTAGTTCATTATTTCATGGATTCTAGTTTATCATGGTTTAAAACTTATCTCCTGAATATACCAACAATTTTTAGGAAATGTCCTATTAGGCATACCTAGTACACAAAGGAGATGATTTTATGAATTCAACATTACAAGGAACTTCCCTATAATTCATTTTTGATGTATTTTTACCACATATCTCAGAAATATTAGATTCATGAATAGGAAAGTTTCTCTTTTGTGTAAAATGGTGATGGGCTTTGAACTATTTAGAAGGGAGAAAAATTGTGGCTGTTGATTTGGAATTAGAATACTCAAGTAAACATCAGTTAGAATGTGCTGGCTATGGAGTCTGTCTTTAACTTCACTGCAAGAATAAAATACTTCATCTTGTTTCCTAATTTCCCCATTTCTAATCAGGTAGAAGGAAAAATTAGGAAGTGGAGAGATTTAGAAATGTTTTTTCCCCCCTTACAACTAAAGTCCTATTTGGTTTAGTGTTCTGAGTAGCTGAGATGGAATTATGACCCCACTACTCTATCTTCTAATGAAAATTCTTTCTATACTGCATGTATCAGATGTTAATTATTCATACTGCATGATTGAGGATTTTTGGATTCAGAGATTCACCTGCAATATTTGGAATATCAGTGGAGGTCTACATCAACACAAAATTTATACAGCAGCTGGTGCTAGTCAAAGCTAATGATGGAATTTCAGTTTAATAAAAAGACCCCCAACTGAGCACACCATCTTGAAGAAAGTATACTTATCAAACAGCTTTCAATCACTTCAAGAGGGACGCCTTAATTGGGAAGAGGAAGATCTGCAGAGTAGTCTGTCATCGTGCCGATTCTAGATCAATGACTGCATGTGTGCTCTTTGATATACACAGCTTTTGCTTTATATTGAATAATCACATCCACCTCCTCTTCATTTGAATAAAGAGATCTTTTTTTCATTTAACAGTGTGAAACAATATCTCCTTCTAATTCACGTCTGTGTCTTCATCATAAACAACAAAATTTAGACTTGTGATAAGAAAGGTCCATATTGTTTTTATAACATGAAAGCAGTACTCTTGAAATCTTGCTATTTTCAAAAATGGTTTTGTTGAAGAAAATTGTATAAGTAAAATTAAATTATGGTAGTTTAACTACAAGAATAATATGCTAAGTAATGATGATCTGGATTCATATACAATTATTTTGGAGAGGATTGTACAGTCATCTACCAATAAGAATGAAAAAGAAAATGGATTCACTTTTGGAAGGAATTGAAATACCGAAGAAGAATGTGACTCAGTCAATCAAGTACTGGTTTCCTTATTTGTTAAAAGGAGATATTCATTAAACTGGTGGCTTTCAAACTATTTGTAGATTATTAGTCTCCTTGGTACATTGGAGGCATTATGGACAGGCAGGGCAGGTGGAGGGCACAGAGAGGGTGGTGGAGCAGAGCCCGATGTGGAGGTCAAGGCAAAGCTTGAGTGTGGGGTCGGGGGACTCTCTGGCTCCCGTTCTCACTTCAACCAGGGCAGGTCTCTTCCTTTCCTTTTCCTTCTCTTCCCTTCCCTTCACCTCCCTTCCCTTCCTCTCCTTTCCTTTTACCTCCCTTCCCTTCCTTTTTTTCCCTCCCTTTTTTTTTCTAGGTAAGATTTCTTCTTTTTCTTTTTTTGAAAAACAGGGTTCTGCTGCTAAAATGGAGTTTGAAAATCACTGAGCTTGACAATTCTAAGTCTACTTCCTTCTATGAATTCCTTTCTTCTGGCAATTCTTCAATTACTGTTAGGATTTCAAGGTATAGGAACAAAATAGCAAAGGAGATTGAAAATCTTTAAGAATAAACAATAAATATCTATCTTGTTACACAGATAACTAACAGGTAACTACAACTCATAAAATTGTAGTTCTGCTAAGAGGCAAAGCTGTGGGTGAAATGGTATCCCTACAGAGATATGGAACTATGGTTGACACGTCTAGTTTTTTTTTCAGAGTAACTATACAGAGCAAGGCCATGCTTATTTAATGCACTAGATGATATTTGGGCAGAGTGACAGAATTATGGCCTAATTTTTAAAAACCAAGCCTCTTGCATTTAGAGGATCACATAGTGTAAGAGTGGTGGGATAATTTGAGATCATTTCCCTCACTTTATATATTCAGTCATCCATTAAGTCAATACATTTTTAATTGAATTTGAGTGTGTTTTAGCTACTATGCTAGATGTGGGAGTTAGAGTATATTGTTCCTATCCATACAGAAATTATATTTTAGTGGAGGAGTAGCAATTAAACAAATAATCATACACATAAGCATATACTTAAAAAATTTTTGTAAGTGCTATTAAGCAAAAGAGCAGAGTTCTCAGAGATCTCTGAGATCACATGTTAGAGAATACATGAGAGCAGGAGGCTGTAGAGAGAGAAAGTGATTTGCCTCAACTCACTGAGCCAAGCCCTGAAGAGCCGGCTCTAGTATCAGCTGCTGTTCTGTCTGTCTCACCAGCTTGGCTGTGGGAGTTTAGGCCAATAGCACAAGCTAAGTGATGGAAATCAGAAATCTGGGAGCTCATTTCCCGGCTTCACTACTTCAAAATGCTGGGCAGCCTTGAGAGATACCTAAATATCTGGACTACGAATGGAAGCTTCACATTTGTGAGAATTGTTTTCTTCTTTGGTAAAAGTCTCCCTGCTTGCAATATGCTTGGCTAGAGGCTGAAAATGGTTTTCAGAGAAAGCAAGGTTCATGATTAAAGAAAAGCAATTGCTTAGCATATACAGCAAGACTACTAATTAAAACATACAGGCTGCAACCAGGTTCAACAGCTTCCTTGAGTCTACTTTGCTATGAAACAAATGGTTTTGTTTTCATAGAAGGCCCAGTCCAAAATGTACATCAATTCCCATGACAAACTTTTCCTCAGATATGTTTGCCAGACCTGTCAGCTAGAAGAAAACCCAAGTTAAACCATCATTATTACAATTATTAGCAAACAGCAACTATAATGAACCCATTCTCTAATTTGAGGACTGAGCCAGTTGGGATAGTCTCCAGCACATATGGAGAGAAAGGAGTTTGAGGATATTTTCTCTGGAAAGAACCTGAAGAGTAGGGATGGGGTGGGTGTGGTTGATAGTAGATCCATATACTTTGGAGATCCCACAAACACACAGTTAAATGGCATCCTTTCACGAACATTGAGAAGATCTGCTTGCCTACATGGATGCTGTCTACCTCTGGGAAGCACCTGCCATCAGACAGTAGGTAACTTTTTAAGCCCTTCCTAGTATTTGATGAGTAATTGACTTCCCTCAATCTAAAGCCTGTCATAGTCAAGTACCATTAATTTGGAATGTTTCATTTGTCTTTATTTTGATCAAATTTGTATTTTATTATATTTAGAAATTATTTTCACATATATACTGTACATAAATCTTTGCATTAGTGAATAAGTGGGATTATGGTAATACAAATTGGGGTTTTCTGTGCACACTATATTTTTCCTTTTTCCTTTTGTAATCCTCCTCCCCCCTCATTTTTTTCCTGGTGCTCTCACCCCCACAATTCATGTTATGAAACTAGATTGTGTCTCTGCATATTTTTATCCATGCACATATATCCTTATGTAAGCATATATATTTGTACATAAAAGTATATATATCCCACGCATAGGTTTCTTAGGGGCCATTATTTAGAAAAATAGGATCATATTATTTATCTTTTTCTTATATTTGTCTTTTTCACCAGGAAATACTTCAGGAGAATGGCTCCAAGCCAAATGGTACATATAGTTCTGCTTCATTTTCTATTACTTCTATGGTGTAGATGTGCCAAGATTTACTTTGTGCTCAGTTTTCTGCTATTTTGAACAATGCTGTGATTGACTTCATTGTACATGTATCTTTGTGTACAGGGGCTTTTATTTTTTTAGGGTAACTTTCCAGAAGTGAGAATTCTGAGTCAAAGGATGTGGCTATATAATGTTAACAAATGTTGCCAGATTGTTTTCTAAAAAATATTGTAACGATTCTCATTTTCACCAGCAATAATGGAAGCACCATTTCTCCCTGGATCCATAGCAAAATGGATGTTATTACTTTTTTGTGGCCTAGCATATGATCTATTCTTGAAAATGTTCCATGTGCACTTGAGAAGAATGTGTATCCTGCTGCTTTTGGAGTGTTCTGTAGATGTCTGTTAGGTCCGTCTATTCTAATATGTTGTTCAGTGCCTCTGTCTCTTTACTTATTTTCTGTCCTTTGGAGTGAGTGGTGTGTTGAAGTCTCCTAAAATGAATGCATCGCATTCTATTTCCCCCTTTAATTCTGTTAGTGTTTGTTTCATATATGTAGGTGATCCTGTGTTGGGTGCATAGATATTTATAAATAAATAGTTATATCCTCTTGTTGGACTGACCCCTTTATCATTATGTAATGTCCTTATTTGTCTCTTGTTACTTTCTTTGTTTTGAAGTCTATTTTGTCTGATACAAGTACTGCAACTCCTGCTTTTTTCTCACTATTAGTTGCATAAAATATATTTTTCCATCCCTTTTACTTTCAGTCTGTGTATGTCTTTGGGTTTGAAGTGAGTCTCTTGTAGGCAGCATATAGACAGGCCTGTTTTTTTTATCCATTCAATAACTCTATGTCTTTTGATTGGTGCATTCAGACCATTTACATTGAGGGTGATTATCAATAGGTATGCACTTATTGCCATTGCAGGCTTTAGATTTGTGGTTACCAAAGTTTCAAGGGTAATTCCCTTACTATCTAACAGTTTAATTTAACTCACTTCATATGTTATTACAAACACAACCTAAATGGTTTTTTTCTCCTCCTTTTTCTTCCTCCTCCATTCTTTGTATGTTATGAATCATATTCTGTACTCTGTGTCTATTCCTTGGGTGACATCTATTTAGCCTTAGGAATACTTCCATCTATAGGAGTCCCTCTAAAATGCACTGTAGCGGTGGTTTGTGGGAGGTAAATTCTCTCAGCTTTTGCTTATCTGAAAATTGTTTAATCCCTCCTTCAAATTTAAATGATAACCTTGCCGGGAAGAGTATTCTTGGTTCAAGGCCCTTCTGCTTCATTGCATTAAATACATCCTGCCACTCCCTTCTGGCCTATAAGGTTTCTGTTGAGAAGTCTGTTGATAATAGCCTGATGGGTTTTCCTTTGTATGTGATCTTTTTTCTTTCTCTAGCTGCTTTTAAAAGTCTGTCTTTATCCTTGATCTTTGCCATTTTAATTATTATATGTCTTAATGTTGTCTTCCTTGGGTCCTTTGTGTTGGGAGATCTGTGCACCTCCATGGCTTGAGAGACTATCTCCTTCTCCAGATTGGGGAAGTTTTCAGCAATTACCTTCTCAATGACACTTTCTATCCCTTTTTCTCTCTTCTTGTTCTGCTACCCCTATAATGCAAATATTGTTCCCTTTGGATTGGTCACATAGTTTCTCTTAATATTCTTTCATTTTTAGAGATTCTTTTTTCTCTCTGTGCCTCAGCTTCTTTGTATTTCTCTTCTCTAATTTCTATTCCATTTACCATCTCTTCTTCTACATCTAATCTGCTTTTAAATCTCTTCACTGTACGTTTCATATCAGATATGGAATTTCTTAACGATTGAATCTTCGACTGAATTTTGTTCCTGAGTTCTTGAATATTTTTCTGTACCTCCATAAGCATGTTTATAATTTTTGTTTTGAACTCTCAGAAAGATTGGTGAGTTCAGTTTCATTTGGCCCTTTTTCTGGGGTTTGTGAGATTTTTGTCTGAACCATATTTTGACATTTCATATTTCTGTGTGGTGTCCACTAGTGCCCAGAAGCTCTAGTTTCTGGAGCCGCTCAGCCCCTAGAGTGAGGTTGGGGGTTGTAGGGGAGCAGAGCTGGTGCCTGGGGGGAGGAA